GTCAGCCGTCATGCCCGGTCGTAATCCCCCCATCTCCCTTTTTTACACAAGCTTAATTCTCCTCCAGAACCCATCCCCATGCCCTTTACCATTCTTCCGTATACAAACTCGGGGGTGGGCTGGACTGTGCGATAAACGTTGATGAGCCTCATGGAGGAGCGTCTGGCAGTTGGCATCAACATGGGCCTCGACAAGCCGTCACCACCGAGCCGGGACCAGATCTCGGACGCCTTTTCGAACGTCATGGTGGCGTAAATACCCCGGTGCGCGAATGTACGTCGGCGGGCGCATTTGTGATTCATCTAGTGTGGTTGGTTTTTCTGAGCATGCTACAGCAAAAACGGAGTACAGGAAGGGGGGGGGGGGCGGTTGGAGGGAGCATGGAGGATACCAGTCATTCCCGCTGATCCAATTCGAGTTGGGTTGAAGCTGTTGTTATCACCAAATTTTCAAGAATCCAAGACTTGTCTTTGATTGTACAGAATTTCGGTTGCCACCTTATTCCAAATGTGGTCCCCCCTTTGCCCCTTTTTTGCGCTTCTCCCTGATGATGAGGATGATGGTGATGATGATGAACAGCTCAGCGACTAAACCGAGACTTGAGCCTCGCTCTTGGGCCCCCTCTCGCCGAAAATGGTGCTGCCGATCCTAACTTCATCGCTGCCCATGGCGACGGCGCCCTCAAAGTCGTTGCTCATGCCCATGCTCAGCTCGAGCTCCCGTTCCAGTCCGAGTTCCTTGCGCACGAGATCCCTCTGCTCCTTGAGAGCGAGAAAGTCTTCATTCTCCGTCTCGGCCGTCGTCGCCTTGCTCCGCGCAATGGCACCAATGGTCATGAGGCCGAGCAGGTTCAGCGCCGGGCACTCGTCTTCGATGGCGCGGCAGAGAGCGACCGTCTCGTCGCCGGGCGCGGCGCCGGACTTGGCCTCCTCGCCGGACGTGTTGACCTGGACGTGGACGTTGAGCTTGTCGACGCCCTGCCCGCGGGCCAGCAGGTCGGCGCGCGCACTGTTCAGCAGCCTCGCCTTCTTCAGCGAGTCGACGCTCGAGACGCAGAAGAGGTTGGGGATGTGGGCGAGCTTCTTGGCGTGGCCCGACTGCAGGCCGCCGATGAAGTGCCAGCGCAGCGTGCTGGGCAGGAGGTCGACCTTTTGGATGAGCTCCTGGGCGTAGTTTTCGCCAAAGTGCACGACCGAGGCGTCGCGGTGCAGGGCGAGTATGTCATTGGCGGGCTTGAGCTTGGAGACGGCCACGAGCCGGACGGGGCGGCCCTTGGCTGCGGAGGTGAGGCGGGCTGTGACGGATTCGAGCTGAGTCGTGAGAGCCTTGGCTCTCGCGGGGTCGACCTTCATCTCGGGCTGGTCTGGCATTTCCTGAGGGGGATGTTGTCGTCCTTTGGGGGTATGTGCCTGGGTCTGGAGTGTGCTTGTTGGTATATGGCGTGACTATGCTGCTGTGACTATGAAAACCTAGGCAGGTAGGCACGTTATGGGTCATACGCCATCCCCATGTGGTGGTGGTGGTGTAAAAAGAGCTTGTCATTGAAGCTTGACTTTCTTCCATTTCCCATACCTTTGGGCTGCCGTACAGGTTCAGTGGCTGTACAGGTCGAGTGAGCCACCACAGCCGCACCTCGAACCCGTTTCGGCCAGGCGCGTCATGCAGGTCCTCGCTGAGGTGCGCTGCGTCACCCTGGAGCTGCCCTGGAGCTGCCCCCTGGAACAGCCCCCTGGAACCCCTGAAGCCCCCCCCCCCGCCCCCCCAGGAAAGGCTCGGCTCGGGCTTTCCGTTGTTGCCTCGACACCAGCATGTACCTACCTTACCTACCACCTAAGGTAAGGTACCTAGAGTAGGTACCTTAGGTATGTTGATAGTCGATAGCTCAAACCTTCAACCTCCTTCAGACACCCCCACCATACAACATTCTTCGCTTCAACGACATCAGTTCCCTTTCAATTGCGCCATATCTCGGGTCGACGTTTATTTCTACCACCGTTCCACATCGCCTCGATTCCCAATGACCGCCCCTGGTTGAGAACAACGCTGAACGGCCTGTCGCAAGCATCCCCCGGTCGACTCCTCCGATTTCACCTTGTCCATCGCCTCGCCTCGCGCCTTTCGCCAGCATGCCCAAGCAATATACCCTTCTCGGACGCTCCCTACCCCGCCTCAGCACCCGTCGCCTTTCCTTCCTCCTCGTCTGCTTCTCCATCTTTGCCGTTCTGTCCCTCCTCATCAGCCTGCCGAACGCCCTGTCGCCCGATTCGCAGCTCACCAGATACACCGAGCACATCCCAAAGATACCCACGATCAAGATCCCATTCGCCCAGAGCGTCCTCAACCCCTTCAAGCAGCCCTCCCACCCGCCGCCGCGCCAGAAGAATGATACATACGATGAGAGCTCCTGGTGGGCCGACTGGAAGTGGCTCTCTGTGCCCTTCTCCTCCTCCTTGACCCTCGACGAAGACCGCTCGCTGCTGCCTCCCTTGAAAGAGCGCCCCCCTATCTACTGCTATTACGATGCGACCATCAAGAAGGACGATGCCCTCAAGGACGCCGAAAGCGATCTGTTGCTCACCTGGAGGAGGGCATGGTGGGCGCAGGGTTTCAGGCCCGTCATACTGAGCGCTGCCGAGGCCATGCAGAACCCTCTGTTCGCCGACGTCCAGCGCGCCACCTTGGACGCCGGCCTCAGGGCAGACCTGATGCGCTGGCTGGCTTGGGAGAACATGGGCGGCGGCCTGCTGACATACTACACAACGCTGCCCATGGGCTCGCGCGAGGACCCTCTGCTGGCCTCGTTTCGCCGCGCCGAGTACCCCAAGCTGACGCGCTGGGAGAAGCTCGGCAGCGGACTGCTCGCCGGGCCGCAGACCGAGGTGGCCGCCGCCATCAAGGAGATCCTGGCCAGTGACCAGGCCGCCCAGGCCAAGGACCTGCTCGCCATTGTCTCCAAGAACACCTTCGTCGTCTACAAGAAGCCTGCAGCCATCGCATGGTACGACGCCAACACCGTTGAGGGCAAGTTCGCCAAGGTCGCCACGGCAATTGTGGAGGACCCGGCCAAGGGGCTCAGGAGCCTCATCCAGCTCATCAACAGCCACCTCCACACGACGTGGCAAGAACACGTTCACAAGTGGCATTGCCGTCCTCAAACCACTGCCCCACCACTCGACCTACATGGTCACCGACGCCTGGGACCTCGCCGAGGACCTCTCCCAGTGCTCTCCCTCGCCCATGGTGGCCTCGTGTCCGCCGAACAACCCAAACTGCTCGCCCTGCGTCTCGTCGACGCCCATGCACATCGGCACCCCGGCCCGCTACCGCAACTCGTCGACCCTCTACACGATCGGCACCGTGCCCCACCCCTACACAACGGCCGTCATGACGCAGATGAGCACGTCGATCACGGTCCGCTGGATCCGCCGCGAGTCGCCCCGCGACCCCTGGCTCGCCGCCGCCACCATTGAGCTCCTCGGCGCCGCCGTCGGCGGCTCCCCGCGTGTGCTCTACTTCAAGGAAGCCGTCGGCGCCGACGCCTCGACGGCCTCGTCGCTCTGGCTGACGGCCGAGAAGCCCCTGACGTCGGCCCTCCGCGACGAGCTCGACTGGCACTTTGGCTTCGTCGTCCCCCAGGGCATCGACAGGGGCCAGTCCGAGACGCCCGTGCCGGGCCCCGAGCGCCGCCCGAAGCAGGAGCACGACCCCGCCGACGGACGCGTCGCGACCGAGGCCGAGCTCGAGGCCGAGCCGCCGCTGCTGGCGCGCGCCGTGGCGGCCCAGCACGAGGACGACGACGGCAGGGATTGTCACGGTGCGCGGCGCCTCTCGAGGCGTGGGAATCTTTGCCGACACGGAGGCGGTGGCGGTTTGCGCGGG